ATTTTGTGATGTGTTCTAAATCCTAACCTCTGAATGTTAGTGAGGCAGGATTACTAAGGGCTTATCTTGAGTCACCACCCTTTCTCAAGTCACCACCCTTAGCTGAGTCAAACCTTTTATCTTACAAGAGATAAAAAGAGAGAGAAGCAAGCAGACAGGAAGGGACCTCAGCACTGCCAAGAAAGAAGAGCCAGGAACAGAATGCATCCTTGAACCTTGGGTTCCCTGTACTGAGAACCTCCTAGACCCGGGGGAGGATTGATGGCAAGACACATGAAGATCTCTAAGGAACCAGGAAACAGAAGCTGCAAAGACAAGGACCTTCCTCCAGAGTCAACAGAGAAAGTGTTCTCCTAGAGCCAGTATTCTCCTAGAGCTGGTACTGTGAATCTGGTCATCTAGCCTCCTAACTGTGAGAAAATAAATTTCTGTTTGTTAAAGCCATCCACTTTTAAATATTTCTATTATAGCAGCACTAGAGAACTAAGACAAATATCTTCAGGTTTCTTCCTGTTTTCTACTCCTTGCCCTTATTCTTCTTCTTCATTTTTTTTTTTTTTTTCATTTTTGATTTCCCATCTTTTTTTACCTCCTTTTGTTTTAATTGAGCTTTATTTATGATTCTGTATTCTCATCTCTTAGTATATCAATTATACTTTTTTGTTTCAGTTATTGTTGTGGTGTTTCCAATGTATATTTACAACTAACCACAGACCACTTTCAGGTAACAGTGCGTGACTTCATCAGTATTATAATTATCTAACAAACTTTATCCCCAATTCCTCCCTCCTGTCAATATAATACTGCTTTTATCCATTTCACTTATCCATAAACTCTATCTGGCCCTCAGCCTCTTAGGTCTGCAGTCCGTTGGCCTCTGCCTTGCTTGAGCAAGTGTTACAGAGCTCTTTTAACTCTTCTGATAAGTGTCCAAAGGTACCCCACTCCGCCAGTATGCCTGACCTCAGGCACTGACTCCATGAGTCGACAAACCTGGCTCCACCAAGTGCCCAGAGGTATCCCACTTCCAGTAAGCCTTTTGCCCAAAGATGCTTAGTTTTCTTACTACATGGGCTGAGAAAGCCACTGCGCTGTCTCCTGCCAGTCTCCTGATACTGCTCCCTCTGCTGCTGCTTCTCTGCCACTGCTTCTCATTGTCTTCTTACCATCTCGCCAGTATTAATAGCCCTCTCTCTCCAGGGTCAAATAGGTTCCCCGCACAGAGACCCTGAGTCCAACGGACACATTGTGCTCCCATCTCTTCTTGGTGGTAGTCAGGTCATCTTCTACCCATCTCTGGGATGGGACATTTTAAGCCTAGTGAATGGCAAAACTAACCAATCCCCACATTAGAGTTCCATATATCTTATTTGTATGGTCCTAGCTCTGGTAGCATAGTGCCTAAGGCACTTGACTGCTAACCAGAAGGCTGGCGGTTCAAACCCAGCAGCCACTCCTTGGAAGGAAGGTTGGGCGATCTACTTCCGTAGTGATACCACCTCAGAAACCCAAGGAGGGGTCACTATGAGTTGGGTCTGACTTGACAGCACATAACAACAACAACAACATCCTGCAAAGGTGTCATGCACCTTATTTACATTATCAGCAAGCTGTCTAACTCCCTTAAAAAACAAAACAAAAAAACACCAAACTCACTGCCATCAAGTCGATTCCTACTCATAGCAACCCATTCTTGGGTTTCTGAGGTGGTATCACTACAGAAGTAGATTGCCCAATCTTTCTTTCAAGGAGTGGCTAGTGGGTTTGAACTGCCAGTCTTCTGGTTAGCAGTCAAATGTCTTAGGCACTACACCACCAGAGCTTCTTGGTGGGTCACAAACACCTCATTTACATAGCCCCATGCAGTCATTTTGTGAGAGTTACTAAGACTGTGTCTAGAAGGGCCACATGACATAATCCACTGCATTGCAACATTGTGTATTTCACTTTTAATTTTTTTTTTTACTGCCCATATACCCAAAGAACTTATGATTCATGTGCATCTGGACACTTCTGTTTCATTCACTCTTATGTCTGCTTTGCCCACATTAAGTAGGCTCTGTGTTATATTACCCAAATAAATTTTAATCAATGAAGGAACCAGAAGTAAGGGCCTGAAGGGAAGTAGTCTTGCATGAGGCATTGGGCTTTCCCTGGAGAGGAGAACTAGGTTGTCTGAATTTGTCTCTTCTGCCTAATACCCAGCAGGGCTCTAGATACCCATGGTGTTATTGGAGAAAAACACACAGAATAACAACAAATTTATGCACATGAACAGACATGTAGTCGTCAGGAATGTAGACTTCAAAGGTAAATTGTACTCTGATCCTCTCTCAGCAGCATTCTGTGTGGGCAGCATTGAACAAGTGAGTAATTGATTGCCTCTGACTTTGCTATGAACTGTTTGAAATAGTATTTGCTTAAGAGAGTCATGAGATATAAAGGAGCTAGTGTGTCAAAGGTTTTTGCATAACCTTTCACACATTGTAGTTATTCAATTCATAGAATGTTTTAACATTGCTATGTAATGAAAGTAGGGGTTTTTATTGACTTTAAAATTAACGTAACCTGGCCTACTGCAGTGGAAGAGACTTTGGATTTTGGCTTTAGCTCAGAATTAGTTGTGATACCATCATACCAGGATTAATTAAGATGACATAGACAGGTTACTTCACTTTTTCCCTAGCAAGACAAGTTTCTTATTCTACTTGTTCTGCTCTGTTGTCCAGACAAGTTTTAGCAGCCAGTGGGCTTGAGCAGCCTTTTCTCAGTACATGAGGAACCCGGTGGGTTGATGGTATTTCACAGAGGCCAACCCCACAGACGAAAGAATCCTACTGGTGAGGGTTCAGGTAGTCATGGCATGTACCTTCTAGGGGCTACAAATGTGAGAAGATTTTGGAGTGGAGCTTCTAGAAGGCTGGTATATAAGTGTTTCCTAGGCTTCATGGGATATTTAACAGCTAAACATCTGCACTTCAGCTTAATTACAAAATTAATTTTTTATGGTAAAAAGTGCATGTAACAAAACATTTGCCAATTCAAAAATATTTACATGTAGTCTTAGGCTGGGTTCTCTAGAGAAGCAAAACCAATGACGCTTACATATATTTATAGAAAGATTTATCTCAAGAAAATGGCTCATGTGGTTGTAGAGGCTGGCAAGTCCCAACTCACTGGGTTAGACGTCAAGCTGGAAGGTTGTCTTGACTCACATAGCTGCAGGGGCTGACAGACTCAAGATCAGCAGGCAGTAATAGCAGGCTGTGGAGGCTGACAAATCCAAGATTAGCAATAAGGTGGCAGACTGCTTGCTCACAGGCTGCAAAAGCAGCAATCCCAAGATGAACAAGCAAAGTGACAGCCTCTGGGTTAAGTGCAAACAAAGGACTGGAGATAAGATGATGGTGAGCCAGATGCAGGATCCAGATTGAGCAAAAAGCCAGAGGGCTTTGCCAGAACATCCATATATATTGGAAGCAGGCCACGCCCCTGAGGAAACTCCCTTTGAACTGATTGGTTGGTCATAGTAGATCTCATCATGCAAGGTAATTACATTATATCAAATCTCATCATGATATAATGCCAAACCATTGAGAATTATGGTTCAGCCAAGTTGACTCACAACCTTACCCATAACGTATATATAATTTGGCGACATTGATTATGTTTATCATTGTCTTAGTTAACCAGTGCTGCTGTAACAGATATACTACAAGTGAAAGGCTTTAACAGACAGATTTATTCTCTCACAGTTTAGGAGTCTAGAAGTCCAAGTTCAGAGTGCCAGCTCTAAGGGAAGGCTTTCTTTCTGTCTGTCTTTTGGTCCTAGGAGGATCCCAGCACAATGACACTGTCTCCAAAGGATGCATTCTGCTCCTGGCTCTTCTTTCTTAGTGGTAGTAGGTACTCCTCTCCTCCCTTCTCTCTCCTTTTATCTCTTTAAGACAAAAGGTGTTGCAGGCCACATCCCAGGGAAGCTCTCCAACATCAGATCAGGGCTGTGTTGGGACTAAGGGTATCCCAACATACCCTTAATCCTATTAACACCTGATCAACTTATCACATCAGATCACATCATGGGGTATCATCATTACGTAACTGCTGAACCACTGAGAATCATGGCTCAGCCATGTTGACACAGATTTGAGGGGGGGCACAATTCAATACATGACAATCATGTTATGCAGTCATTACGATTTGAGAATCATAACCTCTTCTCAGTTAGCTAAATAAGGGCATGCTATTCTACTTCCTGTGCAGGGATAGGGCTCTTTATCATCTTATAACATTGGATTGTGTTTGTGTGGGTGTATTGGTTTATGTTTGTTGAGGGGAGCATTCACTAATAATTGATGTACAGTTGCCTTAGATTATCAAAACTTGAGAATTGTGGGGAGATCTGGATTCCTGTCTCATGTGAGCTCTTTAGGTTTTGCCTATCTCTATGAAAGGGACAGAAAGGATGACAGGACATGACCATCTCAGGGCCTTGGGTTTGCCAGTTTGTGTGGGTCCTTGGTCCCTTCATGACTGTAAAGAACAAAAGGAAAAACTGCCATTCGGCATTGTTTTCCAGTTGTTAATACCTCATCCTGCTTTCTCCCTGTGCTTCATGTTTTGTTGGGTCTTATAATGGGACATAAGATTATTTATTCAAAGGGACATGATGATCTGAATTAGATTATTTCTCTGATTTCTGCTATGTTTTCTAACTGTTCTAGACCATAAAGAGAGAGGAATAAGACTGTAATTAGTCCCAGTCGAACTGTAGAGAGATTATTTCAGTGTGTTGCAAGTCTCTGAGACAGGATGTAATCAATGAGGAAGGGAATGTAGTTAGTGAAGGAAGAGGTTGATGGCTATACCTTATAGTAGACCTGGATAGAACACAGAAACTTGTGTCAAATCCCTTATGAAGGACTGTCAGCTTCACCTTTCTTCTTATACGTATTGAAATACGTGGACCTTGCTGATCCAGAATATATTATGTGTTTCAGGATTCAGTGGTCATTGAGGATGTGGTCATGGTGTTTACCCAGGAAGAGTGGGCTTTGCTAAATCTTGCTCAGAGGAGGCTCTACAATGATGTGATGATGGAAACCTTCAGAAACCTGGCCTCAGTAGGTAAGATGAGCATCATTTTTCAATTTTTCAAATTTATTCCTTTACTGCTTTTTTTTTTTCCCCCCCTGGTACTCACTTTATTCAGTCTTTGGGCTAGGAATTGGAATAATTACTAAAAACAAGCATGGTCCCTCGCTCTGTGGAGCTTACATGCCCTGGCTTTCTCATGAACATAAAGCTCTATGTATCTTCTAAAAAGGCAAGGAGGCCACATGTTCTGACCTCCTCTAATCCCACAAGAGGAAGACAGAATCACCATCAATAGCCCAAGGCCTATTCCTGTGAGGCCAGACATGCTGCCTCTCTCCAGCTCTTTCTCCAACCGTTCCTCCCAAAGCACCCACCACCCCTCTCTTTGGTTCAATAATTTGCTGCAGTGGCCACACAGAACTCACAGATTATGGGGTTTGTTAGGGAAGCACCAGGCTACAATGCAAGTTCAGGAAAAACACTCAGTCTCTCTCCCAGCCCACCGTCTCTCAGCCAAGTCTCTCACAGTCTCTCCCCCAGCAGTGCGTGTCCCTCGGTGTCTTACTCAGCGATGAGTGTCTCTTGCGTCTTTTTCCCAGCAGCATGTGTCTCTCAGGAGCACCTGTCTCTTTCAGCAGCATGTCTTCCTCAACCAGCAGTCATAGTTCTGCCTCTAGGAGGCCTCCTTTTGAGCCTGGCAGAGTGGCCTAACTAGCCAATAATAGCATCAGAACTCTAGGCACCTGAGAGAAAGTGGGACCCTCCCAGAACATTGTTTTGTGCCACTCCCTACAGAAATACTCCAGGTGGACAACTTTAGCAATCAGGAGCTCCTCAGTTGCTCATAGCAAATCCCACCTTGGAGTTTACAAAGACTTATGGGTAGAAAAGCCACACTAAGTAATTTACTACACCACAATATCAAAGTAACTTTTAATTTCTCTTGTGATTAAAAGACTTGGGGCTTTTTTTTTTTTTTTTTTTTTAATTAGGATTTGGGTGAAGATTTACAGAGTAAATTCACTTTTCATACAGCAGTTCACATATACTTTGTCTCATGTCATTGACCAAAATTTACAATGCAGCAGCTCCCCTCCCACTTCCTCCCCATAGTTACCTCCTCCCAGTGTCCATCCCTTCATACTCTTCTGCACCCTGAGCTATCTCCCTGTGCATAAGCAGCCCTTCCTTCTCCCATGATTGTTCTCTTCAGGGCGTGTGTCTACTTGAGGTAAATGTTTAACTCACATGCCTGTACTTTGTTTGGCTGGAAACCACAGTTGTGGGTTCAATTCCAGACCTGAAGGGCAGCTAGGGGCCATAGTCTCAGTGGTTCTACCAGCAAACCTGGTCCCCACATTCTTTTTTTTTTTTTTGCCTCCAAATGATTTTGAGTTTTGTACCACATTGTTCTCCCTCTTTATGCAGGATCTCCTACATCCCTTCCAAGTGGATGGCAGTGGTAGCTGGGCACCATCTAGTTCTTCTGGTCTCCTAGTTGTATAGGTTGCAGATCGGATGGTGTACCAGTCGCTAGGACTGATTGTTTCCATTAGTTTTGGTTTTCTTCTTTCTTCTTGACGAGGAGAGACCTGTTGTTGCATCTAGATGGCAGCTTCCTAGCTTTTAAGGTCCCAGTCGCTACTCGCCAAAGTAGTAGGTGGAACAATGTTTTGTATAGTATGTTATGCCAATTGAGCTTGATGTCCCCTGCGACTATGGTCCCAAGCCCGCAGGATCAACTACTCGGTCCCTCTGGGTAGCTGGCTGTGACCAAGAAATGACCATAACCTTGCCCCTTGTCAGCTCTACTATACACCTGGGAATTCTGATCATTCACATGAACTTACAGGCCCATTGTCTGCCAACCCTGTATATGATCTTGGATACACTCTCCATTTAGACATACCTAATTGTGACTTGGGGCTTTTTAAGTGTTGTTAAGTGTAAGTATTGGTTTCAGGGGTCATTTTGGGGCACTGAGTGTTTTGTGGTGTGGAACCTTATAGAGAATTGTACTGTGTTCATTAAAAGTTTGACATGATCATTTTACTGCAAATAAAGTCATCTTCAGAGACCCTGAAGACCAAAGTATTGGCTCAGTGTCAGGGAAATGTTCGTTGCTCTTCACTGTCTTCCCTCATGATAGTCATTTCTCCATGAGCACCATGTCAGCTATACCATATATTTTCCCAAAGAAGCAAGGGAAAGATCTGAGGAGAAAGATCTGAGAAATGTCAGGGAGCACCAAGAAAACCAGAAGTTTTTGAAGGCCCAATCCTGCACAGAGGGAATTAGATTTCAATCAGTCAGGTAGAAAAAAATCTCTTTTAGGTTGAGAAGACAATTTCACAGACACCTGAACTTACTTTTCTATCAATCTTCCTGGCACCTGTGGTCATGGAGACCATTTTCCTCTTAATGCTACATGTGTATCGTGCCTAATATCTTTCTCCTTAGCTCTCCTTATTACAGCTATTTTATGTCACTGTCACTCTCAATCCTCATCAGAATATTTCTTAGTAAATTGCTTTTTAACCATTGTCAGAGTCCTGAAACAGCAAGATACGATTAATCTTTTTTTGTTCACAGCAGCCTTATTTTCTCTAATAATTGCCTTCCTCTTTCGCTTCATACTGGGAACCTCACCTTGAATATTGGGTCAGTCTCTCAAAACCTTAATGATGGAGAAAAGTTATCCAGTGAACGTATAATGTTGCAATTCATGATGAATAACACCTCATCCTCCATGTTAGGAGACATCTCTGAATCATCTGGCAATGAAGATCAGCATAATAACCATGGAAGACTTTTGAGGTGAGTGTCATTCAAACAAGAGAAAACAGTGCCTCAGAAGAAATCCTGAAGTGTCATTAAAATAAGCATATATATTTGTTTATATATATATATATATATATATATATATATATATATATATATATATACCTAGCTATAAAATTATGTGTTCAGAGAATGTTTATAGTATAACACTTTTATAAATGTGAGTCAGATATTGAATATTTGAAACATACTTTACTTCTACACAGTTACCAGAAAGCCTCATATATAGAAAAACAGATAATGGTAGTATCTTTGCTAGATGATTTAACCTATGAGACATGAGATGAGTCAGCACAAAAACTACACACATTCACTTTGTTTGGTAAAATAGGAACAGATAGATTTCCAACCTATTTCCTATTTTTAACAGAAGGCATACTGTACAGAACTTCGGTGAAAATAATGAAGGCAAATGGTGTAAACAAACCTTCAGCCAGAATCCAGATCTTACTGTGATAAAAATAAAGCTTCCAGAAATAAGTCCTTTCAAATGCTGCGAGAGTGGAAAAGGCTTCAAGGATCACTCATCACATAAACATCATACCAGATCTCACGCTGGATGCAATGCTTACCTGTGTAAGAAATGTAGGGAAGCCTGCAGTTGTCCTTCTTACCTCTGCACTCCTGTGAGAACTCTTACTGGAGAAAAGCCCTATAAATGTAGGGTATGTGGGAAAGACTTCATTTGTGTTTCAACCCTAATGAGTCCTATGATGGCATTTACTGGAAAGAAACATGAATGTCTTGAATGTGGGAAAGATTTCTGTAGTTTCTCATCCTTTCATGTGAGGAGTCATAAGTGTGAATGCAAAAAATGTAAAACTCATAGTCATCCTACATCACTTATTTTACATAAAAAACTTTATAATGGAGATCAGCTGTATGAATGTAAGGAATGTGGGAAAACTTTCAGTTGTGCCTCATCTCTTACTACACATGGAAGAATTCACAGTGGAGAGAAGCCTTATAAATGTAAGGAATGTGGGAAAGCCTTTGGTCAGTCATCACATCTCACAGCACATACAAGAATTCACAATGGACAAAGGCCTTATGAATGTAAGGAATGTGGGAAAGCATTTATTCAGGCGTCATCACTCACTCAACATGTAAGAGCTCACAGTGGAGAGAGGCCTTATGAATGTAAGGAATGTGGAAAAGTCTTTAGTTGTGCTTCATACCTCACTAAACATATAAGAGCTCACAGTGGAGAGAGGCCTTATGAATGTAAGGAATGTGAGAAAGCCTTTAGCCAGTCATCACACCTCATTAAACATGTAAGAACTCACAATGGAAGGAGGCCTTATGAATGTAAGGAATGTGGGAAAGCCTTTAGTCAGGCCTCATCGCTCACTCAGCATATGAGAACACACAGTGGAGTGAGGCCTTATG